CATATCAGCATCCTCACCACTTGAGTTATTGTTGTCTTTCTTGAGGACCCGTTTCTTCTCCTTATTGGGCTTTCTTCTTTCATGATCCTTCTTTTTCATTATTTCATAAGTTTTCAGATTGCCAATGAGTTCATCAATGGTCAGCTTTTGTAGATCCTTTGTCTATGTGATAGCATTCACTTTGCTTTCCCAGGAACCAGGTAATACACTGAGCATTTTCCTGACAAGTTTATTCCTAGGAATGATCTCTCCGAGAGAGTGGAGCTTATTGATAATCAAGGTGAATCGAGTATGCATGTCCTGAATGGACTCTTCATCCTTCATTCTGAGGAGTTCATACTCAATGGTGAGCATATCAATCTTTGACTGCTTAACTTGAGTTGTCCCTTCGTGTGTTGTTTGGAGGGCTTCCTAGATCTCCTTGGCAGATTGGCAGGCAGAAATCCTGTTATATTCGTCTGGTCCAATACCGCAGACGAGAATATTTTTTGCTTAAAAGTTCTTCTCTATAGCCTTGTGGTCAGCATCGTTATGTTCCTTCCTTGTCTTGGGAACTGTCACTGCTGGTTCGCCAGTGGTTTTCATAGGGATGAAGGGTCCATCGCATATAATATCTCAGAGCTCTGAATCTTCATCCATGATAAATTCATGCATCCTTGTCTTCTACCATCCGTAGTATTGGCCATTGAATTATGGTGGTCTGTAGGTAGATTGAACTTCTTCAAAGTTTGGCGGAGCAGCCATGAGGATCCTTTCTAGGTGTTAGCCTAATAGAAAGAACCTGCTCTGATACCAATTGATAGAATCTTAGGGTCTACCAAACTATATAAAGAACCGGATTCTCTATCAGTTCTCACAGAATACACACAAAGTGATAAGTAAATGACACAACAGAGTTGTACGCGAAAAACTCCCAGCTCACGGGATTAAAAGCCATGACCTACACTCGTAGGATTTTAACTTCCTTAACAGAGCAACTTTTATATTACAACCTATTGTAACCTAGGAATTAAACTCTTAATCCCTCACTCACTTGTAATAACTCTATTACAAGCCTCTTTGCAATAACTCTATTACAAAGTTTACAACTCGACTAACTCTGGCCAACACACAAACACAAACTTTATAGTTTTACAATTGGTTTCCTACACAATGCTTCTAGCTAAGCTAAGTAGGATTTACAAGTAAATCACACTAACAAAGGTACAACACAACTAAGCATACATAATAATACAATGTTGGAAACCGGTCCTTCGTTATGTTGTTCTTGTTCTTGAAGCCTGGAAATCACTTGCAAGTCAGCAATACACTTGAGAGGAAACTTGATTAATTCTGAAATGTGCAAGTGTATTGTTTTTCCTTTGCTTCATGTTAATATTGCACAAGTGATGTCACTTGGATGATGCAAGCAATATCCGGTACAAGGCATGTCCTAGAAGGTGGCTGTTGCACTAGTCATAATGTTGCGTGTGTGCAGAGGAACAGTTGCGAGCAGTTGACTGGTACAGTCAGCAAGGGAACTGATGTCCATCTGTTCCTCCTATCGTCTCTTTGACTCTGATTGTTGGAACTTGTGTCTGACTTGATACTTGTTGTTTTTGAGCACTTTAAGGATGTGTAGCAGGTTCCCCATCTGGTTCTAATCATTAAGTTTGTTAGATCATCAAAACATAAAACAATACGTAACCTATCATTGCTTTTTCCCTTTATTTTTTCCCATTTATGCTTTTAAAAATCGTGCTCTTTCTAAAAGAGTGGAACCGTTTCAGTAATTAATAAATTAAAGAAACAGTGCAATCTGAAATAATACCTGTTAAATAGTGGGAAGTTACAACAATGGCAATTAAAGTACAATCAATCTTTCGCTACTTTTTCTCTTCACAATCAATCTTTCACCATTGTCCTCTTCATATAACTCAGTACAAACTAAGATAACACATACATCCAATCCAACAAAGAAAAGATCAGAATATTGAACATGAAAGAGAAACCATTGTTCTATGGTTTGGGAGTTAAAGTTCAATCGTCCAACAAAAGAGGAGAGAACGTGATGATCAATATTAATAGAAATACAGTTCTTTCTATATCCATTAATGGCGAACAGGAGAGGAACTCAAACATATTTCTAGAGAACAAGAAGCTTCCCTAGCCTGTAAGCATGGAAAAGTATTGGAGCTTTCGCAGACGGAATTTAGAGAGCACGGTTTGACAAAAATGAGTTTGGAAAAACAGGTGCTTGGCTTTTGTTTTAGACTTTCTTATTGAAGTATTACTAGAGTTCTTGATCCTTTTGATGACACATACTGTTACTTCCGTGAAAAAATTAACAAAAATTGTAGTCTCTTTATTAAATTTATAGAAAATGAGTGGTGGACATTTCAAAATGGCATGAGATTTTTAAACGAGAGAAAGATGATGATTTTGGAATTTTACATAAAATTAGGAAGAGAAAATAGGGGATTCATCTATTGATTAAATGGTATTGATGGGAGGAGAAGAAAAGAAAAGAAATGCAAGGTAACGAAATTTTGTACAAAGAAAGAAAGGAAAAGGAAATAAGGAGAAAAAAAAAAGAATAAAAAGAAAATAAGGAAGGAAAGAGAAAAAACGAAAGAGGAGGAGCAAAAAGTGTAAGGTAATTGATTCCATTTTTTTTTTATGGCTTTTGCAAATCTTGGAATTAAATTTTCCACTTCTTGTCTTCTTGTAATTTTATATTTCCTTTGAAGTATATGGAAAATTATAATCCTAAATTATCTTGCAAATCTTATGTTCATACGTAGTAGTCCTAAAAGAGGTGACTTGGCACCCGTCTCCCAATCACATTCACCAATTCTATTTGGTGATACATGATAGGGATGAGTTATACTCACACGTTCTTTTTAATTACAAGACCTTACTCTGCCAACTGGGGAACGTGACACTTGACCATGTCTATCGCGAGACAAAAGGTGTAGCAGACTCCCTGCAAAGTATGGCATGCTCTTAGCTCCTTCTGAAAGCCAACATACATCTTATGTCTCCCCCGAACTTTAGTATCTGTTCTCAATATAGATGTACCATTCAGACTCTATTATGGCTCGAATGGTTCTCCTTTGTACTAATAATATACTTTAGCTTTTAATATCAGTATTCTTTATTCGAAAAAAAAAAATCTTTGTTGTGACATTTCGATTTCATGGTGGAATTCTAATTGCTTCATTTGAATTATTTTCCTTATTTTCTCAATATGAACTGTATAATTGTTATCCTTCTTTTTTGCATTCTTTTACAACATCAGCGTTGTATATTTTCGAGCACAAAAGAATGATATTTAGGTAATGTATAAGATATTATTAGCGAGCTACAATCCAAAATTTGCACGTACTCATGTGAGAGAAAGCAATAGACTAACAAAGGAGTAAAGAGACTGAAAATACCAAAGCTTACTCAAATCTTTGAGATGCGGAAAGCAAGAGATAATAAATTAAAAAGACATATTCGGGGGTAGACAAAATTGAGCAAATGGTCTCTATGATACCTTATGCGTTACCGGACCAAGGCTAAGCCTCTGGGCAGGGTGGGTATAGTTTGGTCAAACTCGAAATCTAAATTTTTTAGATTTTTGGTTTGGATTTTTGAATTACGGATTGGTGGATTTAATTTTTAAATTTTTTTGATTTCAGATTAGATATTGGATTTGGTACTTCGGATTTTTGGATATCTAAAAATTCGAAATTTTTATACTTTATACCAATCCACCATCTATATGCCAATAGCAATAAGTCCAATACCCTACTTATTAGATATTATCTCATATATTCAATATTAATTATTAATTTACTATCAGAATACTTTATATTTGGACATGGTTTTACTATTGCTACTTTTTATTGTCCGTATTAATGTCTCTGCCACATTTCGTTGATAATGATTTCATTACTTGAATACTTTATTTGGATGATTACTGTGAGAATGAGGAACGTTTTCGGCAATTAAACATAAGTACTTCATTGGACAATCATTTTTGTAAGAAGAAGAAACATCTCAACTTATAAGTTCAAAACAATAAATCCAAAATACCCAAATCGATTAATCCGAAACGGAACTTAAAAAATCCGATCCAATCGAAAATCTAAACCGATATTTTCATATCCAATCCGAACTGCCCGAACGGCCACCCCTACCTCCGGGGAGACTACCTCGCTTGATTACAACAGCTAATTTAACGAATCTCTACTCTTTTAATTCTGTACATAAGAGAAGAAATTCATATAAATAATAAAAAGATAAAATATGGGAACCCAATGCAACTAGACATAGTCACCGCCAATGCAATTGTTTTTCTTCTTTAATGGAAGATGGCATGGCACTGAAAACGACCTTAGGCCCAGAAAATATATGCTTTAAGTTTCAGTAGGGAAACTATCCACAACCAGACAAAGTAGACAACAGTTTGCAAAAATGATATTACGCCGTTATAAACCTCTGGAATGGTCCCCATCAATCATTTTTGTCCCAGTGGCATTGACAGTCCCTAACTTCTTTTTCATATTCAAATTTAATTTGCCTAATGGCCTTTCCAAGTGTTAAAATCTCTTGCCATATATAGAAGTATTATTTAAAAATTGAATCTTGATGGATTAGTTAGTAATTCCACCAAATGCTGACAGATCATCCATCAAGTGGACATGAGTCCACCCTGTTTTCTTATTTTCTGTATGTATGAAAAGGTGAGATGGAGTTGCTGTAAGGTTGATTTTTGTTCTACTTTCTCCAGCTTGTTTTGAGACCCTTTTTGAGTTGTTGCCAACCATATCATTCCTTTTTCTTTAATTCTCTGAATCTGTTTATTTAGCTCACCTTACAAGTATCATTTCTTGCTTCTTCCTTTGAGCTCTTACTTCATCAATCATCTTCATCCATGGCTACTGAGACTGTGTCATCAGATCATCCTGAGGTATTCAGTGAATCTCTCTTCCTTTTATTAAATTTTCCATATGAATATATTCTTTCTGCTCTGTCATGTTATTTGATAAATACATTGATTAAAGCTTTGTGACACTTCTGATGTTATTCCCTTTTTCCTTTTTAGCCCTCTGTGTTTGTTATGTGTTTGGTTGTATTAGAGAGAATCAAACTGTAGACATCATAAAAGGTAGTCATAGGAAGTGAAAGAAAGGAACAGAGAGGGGACTGTTTTTACTTTTTCACCAGTGACATATTAATTAACAGAAGCTGATGTGTCAAAGAAAAATGAGAAATCTTACTTGGTAAGGATAGAAACTTATACCAAGCATACCTAGCAAGTGAATTTAATCCATCCTAAAGCAGAAAATTGAATTCCTCAATGAAAATAATGAAACTGCCATCTGTATCGTAACAGAATTAAATAAAAATGATGTCTAAATAGTTTTGATGAGATGGCACCAAGGATTTGGCCTAGCGGCAATGAAGTGAGTGAAAATTATGGGAAGAGCAGGGTTTACATCCTAGCAAACATAGACGAAGCTAGGTAATTTTTCTCCATCTGTCTAAATTTTGGTGGGTATAGTTAGTTACTCGATACTTGTGCCGGCGAAAGAAAATAGGTACCAGTTAGAATAGTTGAGGTGTAGATTTGATTTGCTTTCTCTTTTTTGACGTAGGAGCACACTGATAAAATGGGAGTTCAAATAAGAGGATGGAGTATCTTTTCCTACTGTGCTTTCTGTGAGTGACAATCTTAATTATGACTTACTAGGAAATAGCCTATCCCTTTAAACTGCTCTTTTCCTTTTCCGATAGCTTTATGTGTGATCAAATCTTGTTCCACACTACTAACGCACAAAAGAACAAGCTGCCCTACTTTTAAAGTGAAAGCCTTGTGTGCTTGAACTTTCTCATCTTTTTACCTTCTTTTTCTCTTGTAGTCTGTTGATTCAAATTTTTAAAAGATTGCTACTTTTCTTGGTTGGTACTTCTGTTCTACTTTAATTCTTGCTATCATGCTTACTACAGCAAGTTGAGAAGGAAGTGCATGAAGAGGTAAAGACAATGGAGGAAAAGAATAATGAAGTGAAACCTAAAGAGGACTGTCCAATTCCAGTGGTGTCTGAATCAGTAGAAAAGATACATACAGAGAGTGAATCTCCTGCCAATGAAGAGATAAAGAAGAGTGATGAGGAAGAGAAACCGAAAGCAGAAGAACCAGCACAAACTGTTATCGAAGAAATAAAAAAGAAAGCTGATGAGGATGAGAAGCCTACAACAGAAGAGGTAAAGAAAACCGATGATGCCGAGACGCCTAAAGCCGAACAACAACCAGCAGCAACCACTGCTACTGAAGAAGTTAACAAGCATGTTGTAGTACTAAACAAAGAGTCCGCCCCTGAACCGGAAGCTGAGAGTGTTCCAGAAGAAGCAGGTGATGTTGTCAAAGGTGAATTAGAATCTGAAAAGGTTGAAATTCCACAGAAAGAATCTGAGAAAGAGCTGCAGGACAAGCCAACGATAGAATCAGTTGAGGCTGATGAGGACAAGAAGGAACAAGTAGAAGAATTACAGGCCAATGAACCAGTGAAAGCCGTGGCAAAAGAAGAAGAAGTTTCAGAAGCAGACCAAAATAAGGAAACAAGTTTAGAACCAGTTGCTAATGTACAGGACAAACTGGCTGAACAACCAGAAGTTACCGAGAAGATTGAGCAAGAACCTGCTGAGACTAAGTCTGAAGATACAGAGGCTGTAATACCAAAAGAGGAAGAGACTGAAGCACCACTGAAGGAGGAGGTGGAAAAGGTTGAAGAGAATGATATAAAAGATGTGAAAGCTAATCAAGAAGATGAGAAGAAAAGTGTTGTAACTGAAGCGAAGGAAGTTGAAACATCAGAACTTACTGAAAAAGCCCCAGAAGTTAAGATCGCTTCCAGAGGCACTGAACTAATTGCTGAGAATGGAAACAACGAGGAAGAGAATAATGTTACCACAGAAGTCACTGAAGCTACTGAAGTTGAGAAGAAAGTGGATGAGGCCACTGCTACTGTTACTGAAAAATCAGTTGAAGAGCCTCAGAAGCCTGAGACAGAAACAAAAGTAGAAGAAGAAACTGCCGGAGAAGTTGAACCAAAGTTGGAACAAGAGGTAAAAATAGATGCGGCTAAGGATGGTGAAGAAAGGAAAACTTTGGAAGAAGCTTTTAAAGAAGAAATTCCAGCCAAAACAAAGCAATCAAACAACCTTATTTCCAAGATGAAGCAGTCTCTTGTGAAGGCTAAGAAAGCAATCATAGGGAAGTCTCCAAGCTCCAAATCTGAAACAAAAAATGAAGTCACAGCCAAATAAAACACATCAGCAGCAGTGAAACTAAGAAAAAACAGTACAGTGATAATAATTTGTGAGTAACTTTATTTGTTGTGTGATTTTTCATTCTTGTTTTTGTCATCAGGGGTCCTGCTATATTTCCATTTTACCCTTTTGTTTGCTGCAAGTTTTAGTTATTATCCTAGGTATACCATAGTTGTGCTTTTATTAGTCCTGCAAACTAGAAAGGGTGGTTTTCTTGATTTCTTCATATTTGATCTCTGCATTCGATTTGTGTGATTGTGGAAGAACTTATTCAATTAATTGGTTGGTGATGTACATAAAGAACTGTCACATTAATGAATATTAGTTTTGTTATTATTTGTCATTATTATTGTTTTATGGTTTTGTGGGCATCTTGATGTTTTGATGTTGTTTTGGATCCGATAAATACAACATATTGGTTTGATGTATGAGTAAAGGAAAGTGAGTGAAAAAAGAAAAGCAATTCAAGTGAAAGTATGAAACCTTATTTTTTTTTCTTTATGCTCAATCCCTTCCATCTTAACCAAACGATGCTAAAAGTCCACCTGTATGTACTGTAATAGTTGAATGAGAAAATGTGTGCCACCCCATAATCACAGGCCACACAGTAAGTCTAACCATCTGCTGTATAGCATGAGGATAGTGAGTGCAGCCAAAAAGTGTAACTTAAACTCTACATATATAGTTAAACAATTCTTTCAAATAATATCTATTGACAAATTTCAGTGGATATGGTGATACTCTGTACCCATTTACTTAAATTCTGGATTTATCTCTAAACCCAACGATGGTGCTAGATTAACGTCTCCCCTTTCCTCATTAAGCATTAAGAAAAACGATTGCTTTTCACTCCATTAAGTTATCCATTCTAGAGAGAGTTTTTGTTTTTTTTGGGGAGCACTTTCTTGAAAACAAAACATAGGCAAAGAAGATCTATCATATGAAAATAGAAGAGGGAGTGATGACACGTGTCTCCACCTTAATACAAGTTCAGTTGTCTCGGCAATGAAGACACATAAACAGTATTGCTTCTCTAAACTTTCCTCCAAATATTAGTGACTATGACCAGTAAACCTTGTACCTCATATTCAATATCCAGTACTTTCAGATTATCATATTTACAGTGAAGAATACAAGAAATGTAAAAGATAGGCAAAACTAATCAGCTTGCTTTTTTATAAAAGCTTTCTTCATCTTTGTAAACCATAAGGCAGCAAAAGGCACTTCCCTAAAAATGGGAGAAGGTTTCATAAAACTCTTTAGTGGAAAAACAACAGTAAAAAGGATAACTTATCAGCTGATAGACTGAAACATTAGTAAATGAAAGCAAAACAAGTAAGCAGAAGTTTATTGGAACCTGCTCGAGCTTTTATTACATTAAAAAAAACTAGTTTATATATGTCTAATACACTTGAAAGGCCAGGAGCTCTCACGCTATCTCGGATATACATTTGAAGGATAAACAATAGGATTGCTAAGTGTACTGTGGAGCTACATCCCCACTGTGGTTACAGAAATTAGCTTTTATGGAACTCTTAATACTACCTTCTATTAAGAATTGTCAGAAATTCGCTTTGGTTGGAAGTAAAAACGGGCTTCCTTCTTTTTCCGCAATATGAAAGTGAATCTGCTATCAACATTAAGTTGCGGGTACTAATTGGAACCTGTATAAACAATAGGATTGCTAAGTGAAGCACTTGCTGTCATTCTCCTGGTTATACATGCACATATAACGTCATTTTTACGTCTTAGCATCATTAATGAAGTTATTTTTCACCACATTGGAGTCGGTAGATCACCAGGAATGAGACTGGTCATTACTCATACAAAACCACCACGTTTATTTCAAAGCACATCTGTTTGGTTGGTCAAGTTATTAGCTGCACTGTTATTAAAACCACAGAGCTGGTCATTCTTCTGCAACAAAGCTGATTTTCCAAGACCCTCATTTGTTGCTTGTACCTGACATTTAAGGGACGGAAAACCTTTAAGCTCGTCCAGAATTGATGTAACTTTAAGTGTACGAGGAAAAATTTAGTCTTCCACGAATTAAAAGCAAAGATACACAAGGCTAAAAACATTTGGTCTGGATGACTGCAAGCAAATATAATGTCTAGGGTGAATTTACTGTAGACCGATGATAAACAAGGAGCTTCAGACGGTCCTAGAAAACTGGCCTTTCACTGGGGAAGGAAATGATGCCACATTCTCAAGGAAAAGAAATTCTCATATTGAACACCAGATGAAATTCAAAATTTATCAACTCAAATGGAAACTGCAGTCAATCTGATACTCTCCAGCCGTTGGCCTAGGTTCATCAACTACATTCCAAACTACTTTCCTTAACTGGGAAGATTCAACAAGCTAACACCTCAGAAGAAAGCTATATGAAAATTAATGGTCCCTTATCAAGTAACAAAAATGTTATAGCAGCTTAAATAACTTGAACTTCAATCCAAGTTTTTAAGAGGTATTCTGTTTGAAGAACTGAAAAGGATTTCACATCCAGTACTTAGAGGTTTTCCAGCTGGAATTACATGAAGAGTAGCCATAATACAAAGTTCAGCTTCTCTTGTTTGCAAAGATTCAAAAAGAAAAGAATCAAATTGCTTGGTAATTTACCATAGATCGCTAGCCAATCTAGAGTTTGATAGTGCAAAACTAAAGGAAACTTTCCTCCCAGAGATACTTCTCAATGATAGCATTTTTTTTTGGTACATCATTTCTCTCTCTTTCAAGCTTCCATATCATTGATTTGTGAGAGGGGGGAAGGACAACAAAAAGACAAGAAGATGATAATCTCAGCTATCAAAATCAATCATATTTTTCAAAGGTAACAAGGTCATGAAGTTATTAGCAGACTAGTTGATTTCTTTTTCAAATCAGAAGTTGTAAAGCCTAGGACTGATGTGCATAGAAAAGTTCTGCAACATTTAAGGTCCCCTTTACATTTTAGCAATTATTAGTTCATTTTACACAATGATTATCAAAAAGAACTTTCCACATTTTGCTCCGAATAACTTCAAACCAGTCTATTTACCTCCATACAAGTCAACGCATAATTGTCCACCTTATACTTCTCTTTTTCATGTTAGATAACAAGCTTTCTCATGCAAAAACATACGAAAGAAAATACAGCTTTAAGTTGCATTACATATTGCCTCAGTTAATTCTAACATCGGTTAGTTTACTTTCACTCGAACACAAAGAAGTACAAGAAAATTATGCTCAACATTACGCCAATGATAGTGGATCCTACACATCCACTAGCGGTCTATAAACACAAACCTCAATCTAGATAGTCGTATGTGTCCATGTCCATAGATTCAAAATCATGCCTACATTAGAGGAGACTGTAGTTTGTGGTCACTCACTTTTATGTTCAAGGAAACAATTTTACATCACTAGAGTTCTTCTCTGTTTTTTCTCCGAAAATCTAAAGGGTTTTAATTTCTGTTTCACACACCAACACTATTTAGTTAGTTTCTTATTGTTCTTAAGGTGTGCTTCGCTAAACCACATGATGAGTTTTATCGCATGGTAGTTAAAAACATGCAAATCGACACATACTGATCTGAATCTTTTTTGGAAACTGTCTTATTGAATAAGCTTACAAGGGATCTGTTTCCCAGCTCAATACATAAACTATAGCAGCATACAATGTAGATTGAACTTTCTAATTGACTATAAAAGATCGAACACAATGAGTTCTTGACGAAAACACACACCTGATTTGAAGTTTGATTGATTTAGCAGCTCGGTTAAGCATTATTCATTATATGTGAGTTCTTAGTGCGTCCTTGGTTTTGGGGGTCCAAAGTTGAAGTACTCCATATGTCTGTATGAACTCCTGCACTTGTGACATTTAAACCCACCGCTGGATTTTTGATGGTTGCTCTGCCAAAGGAACCAAAGGTGCAGGTGGTACCGACACTGGAAGTCCTTGACCAGGATGCCTAAAAGAGTGAAGGTTAGATCCAGCAACTCCTGGAAAAGTAGCGGAGCCAGAAACTGGTGGGGAGCAAAGATGTGCGCCTTGCATAGTGGGTATTGGATAAATAGAGCAGCCAGGGGATCCACCATTCATCTCAAGTGTACCCATCCCAAAACCCATTCCCGTCCCTAAACCCATCGGAGAAAATTGTGGCATATAGGCGGCAGACATGTGTTGCATTCCTGCAGGAAACATCATTGGTGGCGCATACAACCCAGCTCCCATAGACATTATCTGAAATAAATCAGAACATGACAGCAATCAACTATAGTCACGACATAACAGACAGAAAAAGAAATTCACTCATGTTTACTATTTATAAAGGTGTAACCAAAGTAGCATCAAGGTGAAGCAGGGTTACTTGCAAGACTTGCAGATTACAAAACGACAACAACTACTACTAGTACTATGCCTCTGTCCCGAACAAGTTGGGGTCGGCAAAATAAAAATGAATGCAAATAAGGCAAACCAAACCACAAGCTATAAGGTTAAGGGAGTTGAACTGTATTAGCTCGATAATCGTCACACATCATACTGCTTATTCGCTATTGCAAGTCTTAAAAGGTGAATTTGAACATGAAGACAGCTTTTGCCATATTGTATTTCTTCCAAAACAAAAACTGTGTGTTGCTGAAATTTATGACTATGTACATAGTACTAGAGAAATTGATGCATTTTCTTTTCAATGCAGAAAATCCCCAAACCATCCCCCTCACACTAGCATGATGAAGAAGTAAGTAAATGGAAAGACAGATAAATCCAAGAGACTAGATAAAGGAAAAAAATAATGCATAAACACAAGAGAAACTTCATCTAACCTGTACTTGAACTTGAAGTGTCTTCAAGTATTCAATAGCATCATCGAGCATTGAGGCTTTATCCACCTAGCAATCGAGGGTGGAAACCATTAAAACATACAACTGAAAAAGAGACACTACAGAAAAGAAAGTATGCATATAGGCAGTTCAGAGAAATCTTGTTACCGATCACTCAACTTATCAGAGAGATAACTCACCTTATTGCAGTTTGGTATGAGATCCTGTAATGCACGCATCTTCTCATTAATCCTATCCCTTCGCCTCTGTTTGCAATGAAGATGAATTAGACTGCATTATCTGAATTATCTCAACAACAAAAATATCTAGAATTGGAAGATGCAAGTAGCACTAGATTATGTTGTAATCATTTCTAAGATTGTTATTTCACCCGCTCAGATAGATTATGCACTTCTGCAGCTCGGCTTCTCTTTGAACCTGCACCTCCTCGAGCAGGATCAGCGGTTTTGATACCAACAGATTCTTCTTCAACATCCTGAACAAAAGATTGTTTCCTTGTCATGAATGATCAGAAAAATATTATTTTCTTGTCATGTTGACAAAGAAGCAACAGACAACAAAAAGGTTCTGAAAATAATGGCTTTCAGAAATCAACTTACTTCACTTTGGAATTAAGACTCCTCATTGTCACGATTTTTCCTCTTCAAACTACGAGGATGATCACTTGATGCTCTCTCTGTGCTACTGCCAGAGCATACAGATGAACACACAACTACAGGTTCAACATTTCTCTCACCATCAGGAAATTCCTTGATTGCATTTGCACCAGTAAATTGATCACGAGACATGTCATTATTACTTGGACCATCTCCGCATAAATTATCAGACTGTTGAATGGGACATGACCTCTCGTGAAGGCAGACAGATCCTTTTGACTCGACTTTGGAAGATGCCATATAAGGTGGAGAATGGACGTCATTTTCCTTTTCTGAACTGAAGTATGATTCAAATGGTACCTCACTAACACGATTTCTGCTACTTCCCACATTCTCTCTCTCTATATTTCCCCTTGCCCCTATGGTAGACGAGCCTGAAACAGCTGAACCCCCAGTAATAGGTCTTGAGAAATGCGCAAAGTTCAACAAACTGGAGCTATTTCCAGGTATGTTTTGCTTTTGCATCTTCATGCTTTTGATAACACCAGCTGAAGCTTGACTTGAATTTGAATATCCAAAAGCGGAAACTGGCATATTGCAGCTAGTATTACTGCTAATAATATCTGAGACTCGTGATCCATTTCATCATTGGGCACAAATTTTCAGGTAACAGTGGAGAGTGATAATTTTGTTGCGGGCTATCATCTGCAGAATAACTCAACCAAGGCACCACTTCATCCTCTTCAGTCAAATCCATTTCATCATTGGGCACAAATAATGGCATATTATCCAACATAGAGTCCATTAAACAAAATTTTCCGATCTTTGTGGTTGAGGAATTCCCTGTGAACTTGTCTTTAACTCTCAGGGAGCTTGATGGAAGATTATTAAAAGTGGGGCTCTTCTTAGCTCTGCTGGACTGACTTTGCATCACAATTTGACCATTTTCCCATACTAGCTCTACCAATTCATCCTCAAGACTGCATAAACACCAAAATTTTTTTTTAAGTATACTAACAATCAACCAGCTAACAATCAATAAGCTAGTTCCAATCACAAAAGGCCATTAAAAGAAATGCATCATAAAACTTGTACTCACCAAAAGACTTACAACAACAACTACTACAGTACGTCTCAATCCTAAACTAGATGATTACTCACAAAGAGTGGTGTAGCCACCCTATGCCAAGGGTGGTCAAGCTCACACCCTTCGCGGAAAAATTATATTGTGTATATAAGTTAAATACTACTCTCTCTGTTTCAAATTAGATGAGGTACTTTCCTTTTTAGTCCGTTCCAAAAAGAATGATATATTTCTATAATTGGAAATAATTCAACTTTAAACTTTTCATTTTACCCATTTTATCCTTAATGAGAAGTTTTTATAATCACATAAATATCATGACCCCACAAAGCTTTTACCCCTTAAGCTTTTAAGACCATAAGTTTCAAAAGTCTCCCTCTTTTCTCTTAAACTACGTGTCGAGTCAAACTACATCATCTAAATTGAAACGGGGGGAGTACTTTATATGGTTATATATTTTATTTGAACACCCTTAACACAGTTGAGTGAGGCAGTCCAACAGTTCAGAATGTTCAAAGTGACGTGTTGTTCAGGGATTCAAAGTTATGCCCATGTTATTTGCCAAAAATAAATGGAAACCATCATGTGTGGTATATTTGATTCTTTTTTAATCTAAAATATTTCTAATAAAATAACTCTTAAAATTTAAAACTTGTGTAAAAAAAACAACTTATCTTAAAAGTAATATTTTTAACTAAAAGTTATTTCTTAATAAATTTTATAATTTAAAAGTCAGCTCTACAAAAAATAATTCAACAAAAGCTCTCTACAATCTACAAATCCTCTCGACTCTCTCTTTCCTTTGTTTTATGTTTACTTTTATTAATAGAATTTCTAATGTTGTCTTTTTGTTATCTTAATTTTGATTTATAAAATTAAAGTTCTATTAATTTTTTTATACTTTAGCTAAATATTGCATAGTTTGATCTAAACATTTTGGTACAGCATCATGGAACAAAAAAAAAAATATTGACTTTTTTAAAGTATAAACACCCTTGACGAATTCCTGGCTATGCCACTTCTAACAAAGAGACTCACAAAAAAAAAAAAAAAAAAAAAAAAAAAAAAAAAAAAAAAAAATGGTACTTGAACTTACCAAGAGGACAGATCAGTTGTCGATGACCTTTTCTCCTGGCCAGATTCAAGCTTCCCTCTAGCCATTCTCAAGAACTCAGAGAGAGGCATGATGAAGAAGTGCAACAACTGTTACTCACAATTGCTCAAAGTTTGGGCATTCAAGAATTACTGGGAAACCTCCACAGTTATCCTGCATTTATTTTCAACAAATATCAGAAGTTCAGAGAGCCATTGTCAAGCATAACTCTGAAAACTGAAAACCAAAATTGTCTAATAAACTAATGTCTTAATCAGTAAAATAGTATAAGACCCATAACTGCAGTAAGTATATATTAATGCATAATCAGTCAAAACATATTTGTTTAATGGTGTCAACTAAGATACTTTTTAGAAATAATAAAAGCAACCTAATCAAGTTTATTTTTAAAAGTTTAAAAGTTCAATATTTTTAAATTAAGTTTCAATGATTAGAGGATAAATCCCAACAAGATTTTCTAAATTAATCAACAACCCCAACAAAGTATTAAAAAAAAGCAACTAAAACTCACTTCTTCATTTACACCAAAATCAACCCTCAACTTCAGTTCAAAAGCTTCAAATTCACTTCAGTAGCTACACCTCCTTAAAAATGTAAACTTTCTGCAAGCAAATCCCAATATTCAACCATCAAGATTTGATAGTATTCCACATGGGGTACATAGCTTTCTAAAAAAGGTACAAGCCTTCACAACCACCAAGTTGAGTTTTTGAGCTCCAAGAAAAGCAACTGTACTTCTCAAAAATATATATATAGAGAGAGAGTAATGAGCACAAGCAAGAGAAAGTTGAAAGAAAGAGGATTATAGGGGCGTGGTAGATGACGGCAAGAGGCTTATTTAGGAATTTGGAGGAGGCGGAGGGAAGAAGACACTCACAGCTGAATGGAGCTTTCGCTCTCAAAGCAGTGTCTTTCATCCCACTCCTCTAGCATGTAACGTAACCATACTTAAAAAAGAGAAAGAAACCCTTAACTACAGTTTATTATCCAATTTAGCATTATATTTTTTATGAATTGACAGTGTGTAAATATATAAACTCTAGCATTGTTGGAAGTTGGTTAATTTTGATTTTAATGATTAACTGACAGATATATTAGGTTGATCGAAGGATCTGGTGAAGGACATTGTCCTGCTAGGTTGGTCTTGTAAAGGGGTAACAGTTAATCCTATCGGAAATAGAAACGAATTTGCACGATATATCATTTTATATCGTGATAAATGACCCAAATAATAGAGAATATTAGTTTAGAGACCAAGTTTACGAGGAAGTAAAATAATAATTGGAGTCTTCTTAAGGAAAGAAATATATTTTTTCTTATACTTCCTTTATCTAAGGTTAGGAGATCTTTAAGGCATATATTCTGTACGAAATTGGTAAAAATTAAATAGGTTTCTTATTGGAAAAGAATTATAATTGTGTATACGAGTAGAACCGAGCTCGATGCTCGATCGAGCATCTGGAACGATAGACCACTCGATATCGAAGTTCAACAAGACCATCAGATTTTCCCTCCAGTTTATCGAAGGCACGACCGACCCCGCTTCTAATGACCTCGAAGAAAAGCTTTGCCAACTCACACGACAAGTTTCCGTGATTCTTGCCATTGGCCAATCATTATGCCAGAAATTACGGGATTAAGTCAAAAATGGAGCCAACGGTCTACATAATTTTTTATAAAATAATGTCTTAAAGGTTTCATCTCCCTGTATATATAAAGAGAATGGAGTAATTCATTGGACACATTGTAACATACTTAAAAGAACAACATACTATTTTTCCTACCTTTGTTCATATTATTCTGGTTTCAACAATATTACATATAAATTAGAAGGAAGTTTACCTTACGAGGCTTAAGTTGTTCAATCACATGGTTTGCATTTATATTTCTACTTATTCTTGCATATTAAATCTGATTTCTCACTTTGTATCGAATTAGATCACATATCTTTAAAACCGCGTATAAATTCAATTGTTATCCGATTTTTCCGGTAAACAGTTTGGCGCCCACCGTGGGACTAAGGATAATAGTGGTTATTTGATACAAATCTTCATAACACACACTATTTTACACTTTCTCTTTGAAGTATCTTTGATCTCAGGCCAAAAATAACACTCTCAATTGGCACCTCTACATATCGACAACGAGGCTGGTCATCAAGGTGAGAATAACAACATGGCGCCCGCTAATGCGGGGTCACCCACTAATGCGGGGCCACCCACTAATGTCGGTGGGATTCAGACTGCAGATCCGATCGATGTAAATTCACATGTGGCCATTGACGCGAACTTGCGTACCGACCCTGAAAATAGCGTCCGTGGTGGAGCCCGATCTGCAGCTCGAAACACACAGAACATTAAAGAAGACGGGATTAGCCTACGCATGATCTTCGAAATATTACAAGCTCAACAGGTGGCTATAGCTCAGTTATAAAGCCAAACCCAGGCACCAAGTAGGGTTGAACTCGATCCACCCCAAGAAGTCATCCACAGAACGAAACCGGCCATGGTAAGGTCGAATGAACAAGAGTCGGGGACTAATCCCGAAATTATAGAAATGCTCGAGGAGCTGACAAAGCAGATAGAGTCAGGGGAAAAGAAGATCGAAGCAAACGATAAAAAAGTTGAAACCTATAATTCCAGGGTAGATCAAATCCCAGGAGCACCCCCGATATTGAAGGGACTGGATTCCAAAAAGTTCGTGCAAAAACCTTTTCCTCCAAGCGTGGCCCCAAAATCGATCCCCAAGAAATTTCGTATGCTTGAAATACCTAAGTACAATGGAACGACCGATCCAAACGAGCATGTAACCTCTTATACATGTGCCATCAAAGGGAACGACTTAGAAGACGACGAAATCGAGTCTGTTTTGCTGAAAATATTTGGGGAGACCCTGTCGAAGGGAGCCATGATATGGTATCACAACTTACCTCCTAATTCTATTGACTCATTTGCTATGCTTGCAGACTCTTTCATAAAAGCACATGTCGGTGTCATCAAGGTCGAAACCAGGAATCAGACCTTTTCAAAGTCAAACAGAAGGAAAACGAAATGCTCAGGGAGTTCGTGTCCCATTTTCAAATGGAACGAATTGATCTGCCGACAGTTGCTGATGATTGGGTTCTTTAGGCTTTCACTCGGGGACTCAATATTCAAAGCTCGATAGCTTCACATCAATTAAAGCAAAGCCTGATAGAATACCCCGCCGTTACCTGGACTGATGTACACAATCGGTATCAGTCAAAAATCAGAGTCGAAGATGATCAACTCGGGGCACCTTCGAAGTCTATATATCCCGCCAGAATTCTCGATAGAGCTAGAAGGGATATCGATCGTGAACCAGGATCAAACGGGAATCGATATAGGCCCTATAATGGAGAAATGACCAAGGTCGAAGCAACCGGGGGCTCATGATCAAAAATAGCTTCGACAGGACCATCGGGCCTAAAGAAGCACCAAGGCTATCAGAGTACAACTTTAATGTCGATGATACCGCCATCATATCTTCTATCGGGAGCATCAGTGATACCAAATGGCCTCGACCTTTACAATCCGATCCAGCTCAAAGGGACCCTAACCAGATGTGCAAATATCATGACACTCACGGTCATGATTACATGGTTCCTTGATCTTTTATAATCCTCGATGACTGCGATGCAACCAAATAGACGGTCGAAGAGCTGGAACATGTTGTATTAATCGAGCATTTGCCCGATTGAAAGGTATAACTTGGCACAGGACTAACTCCCGAGCTCAGAAAAAAATTTATTCAATTTCTTATAGTTAACATAGATTGTTTTGCTTGGTCCCATCTTGATATGACAGTGATCCCACCAGAAATAACCACTCACAAACTAAGCATAGACCCAAAAATTAATCCGGTCAAGAAGAAAAGGAGGCCCAGTCCGAGGTCAAACATGTTTTCATCAAAAATGAGGTATCTAAACTTCTAAAAATAGGGTCCATTTGTGAGGTTAAATATCCGGATTGGTTAGCAAATGTAGTGGTAGTCCCTAAAAAGGAAATAAACTAAGAATGTGTATAGATTACAAAGATTTGAATAAAGCATGCCCCAAAGAATCTTTTTCCTTGCCCAACATCGATTGTATAATCGATGTCAAGGCCGGCCACCAGATTTCCAGTTTTCTCGATGCCTATTCCGGGTACAACCAAATATGGATGGACACGGGTGATTAGGAAAAAAAACCTCCTTCATCACTAAAAGCAACTTATACTATTATAATGTAATTCCATTTGGATTGAAAAATGCCGATGCCACATACCAATGCCTAGTAAATCGGATGTTTGAAGAACAAATAGGAAAATCGATGGAAATTTACATTGACGATATGTTGGTTAAATCTCTGTGAGCAGAGGACCATTTAAAGCATTTGCAGGAAACCTTCAGTATATTGAAGAAGTACAACATGAAGCTGAATTCGGAAAAGTGCGCGTTCGGAGTTGGATCAGGTAAATTTATCGGGTTCATGGTATCCAACATAGGAATCGAGATCAACCCCGACAAGATCACAGCTATCGAAGATATCATGATAGTGGACAACGTGAAGGCCATACAAAGGCTAGCGGGGCGAATCGCCGCCCTGGGGCGATTCATCTTGAGGTCTTCCGATAAGAGTCATCGATTTTTCTCGTTGCTGAAGAAGAAAAACAACTTCACATGGACCCTGGAATGCCAACGGGCCTTGGAAGAACTTAAGCGGTAATTATCGAGCCCGCCACTGCTTCACACACCAAGGGCAGACAAACAACTATATTTGTATTTGGCAGTATTGGAGATAGCGGTAAGTGAAGTCCTAGTTCGGGAAGAACAAGGTATGCAATTTTTGATTTATTATATTAGCCAGACCTTGGGTGAGGCCGAATATAGATACCCCCACCTAGAAAAATTGGTGCTCACTTTGCTAAGTGCCTCGAGGAAGCTAAAACCATACTTCCAATGTCACCCATATGTGTCGTAACTACTTACCCGTTAAGGAATGTTATGCATAAACCAGCACTCTCGGGCTGATTGGCCAAATGGTCCGTGGAAGTAAGTTGGTACGATATTGAATATCGACCTCGGACCGCCATTAAGTCCCAAATATTGGCAGACTTCGTGGCCGACTTTACACCGGCCGTGATACCTGAGGTCGAAAGAGAGTTATTGGCTAACTCAGGGACATCTTCGGGAATTTGGACCCTCTTTACAGATGGGGCCTCGAATGCCAAAGGGTACGGACTTTGTATCGTACTAAAGCCATCAACAGGTAATATAATTAGACAATCTATTAAGACTGTGAAATTGACTAACAATGAGGCCAAATATGAGGCCAGGATTGCAAGCCTTGAATTAGCAAAAAGCTTGGGAGCAGAGGTGATCAAAGCCAAGTGTGACTCCCTCCTTGTGGTAAACCAAGTTAACATAACATTCGAGGTCAGAGAAGAATGAATGCAGAGATACTTAGACAAGTTATAGGTGGCATTACATCGGTTTAAAGAATGGACATTACAAGATGTACCTCAGGACCACAACAACGAAGCCGATGCCCTCGCTAACTTGGGATCTAGGTCGAAGATAACGAGTTCAATTCAGGGGAAGTCGTGCAACTTATGAGATCAGTGGTGTAAGAAGGCCACGCCGAGATCAACTCGACGAGCCTAACTTGGGACTGGAGGAACAAGTACGTGGAGTATCTTAGGACCGGAAATTTGCTATCAGACCCAAAAGAATCGAGGGCCCTGCGTACAAAAGTAGCCCGATTTAGCCTGGCCGAAGATGACACCTTGTTAAGAAACATTCGATAGTCCACTTGCATAATGTCTAGGGCTGGGGGATACTGAGTACGTTCAGAGGGAAATCAACGAGGGTACTTGTGAAAATCATTCGGGCGCCGAATCACTGGTTTGAAAA